GAGCGTCCAAAGAGGGATGGGCCATTGCTACGCATGCTGTGCATTCCCAACCGGGCAGGCTGGGAGCTGCTGGGACCTCGCCTCGGCCAGCGCAGGGACCGGAAAACACACTGTACAGCTTCACATATCGCAGCCTGCAAAACGTATTTGTACCTGTGGGTTGTTTTAATATCTTCTGCCGTGCCCCAGCAAGGCAAACCTCGTGGGTGCCGAAAGGATGGAGTGTTGCTTTGGGAGCCCGGCGCAGAAGCTGCCGGCTGCGGGAAGTGCCGGATCTGGCAGGGGAAGCTGGTGGCAGGATGCGACCACGGCCCCGCGGCTACCGGAGGGGGAGCAGGGCTGTTGCTGGAGGGTGCTGATTGCAGATGGGAAGTGTCAGCAGCACAGTGGGTTTGAGATGAGGCTGCACTGCTGTATTGCCAAACAGCCGGCGGGTTGGGACGGGCAGCGTGGGATGGGCGGACGGACGGACGGATGCACGACCGGTGGCAGACGGGAGCCGGCTCCTACGGAGTCAGCAAGACAAAAATGCTTCTGTGCCGCGCACGGCTGAGCGGGGGGCTGCTCCCTGGGCAAAACCTTTCCTGGAAAATAACACTGGGCAGTGCTGGTTTCCCCTCCCTGTTCCTCCCGCCGTTGCCCCAGCCGGAGACGGAGGCTGGTGGTGCTGCCAGGGTGCCGCGGCACCGGCTCACAGCCTGAACGCGGCAGCGGAGAAGAGAGGAACGATTAGATCAGGGGCCTTAAATGTAATGGTTCCTTAGCGGCCTCAGGATGTCCTGATGAGGTATTAGAGGAAGTAATTCAGGAAGAAGGGGACACATAACGACGTCCGGAGCCCGGCTGACCCGTGGGGCCGGCTGCATCCGTGCGGGACGCAGCCGCGGTGGCTGCACCGGCCCCGGCACGCAGCAGCGGGGACGGTTGGTGTTTGCTGGAAGAGAATGGAAACACAAAGTGCTGTGGCGTGTTGGGGGAAGCGTTGGTATTTTTCTCCTCTCCAGGGGTGGCGAGGGGTAAATGAGGGATCACCTTCTGTCTTCCCAGATTTTTATTTTTTTGAGTCGTGTAATGAGTCAGCTCTAATGGAGAAGTCCCGTGGAATTAAACAAGAGATAAAATCAATATGGTTCCATAGAAATATAATTGGGTTTTGCAGAGATTGCTCTTAAAAACCTATAAGGTGTAAAAGAAAATACAACCTTAGTAGTTTCTGAGCCATCATGTAACCGGGGTGTAACTATCCATTAAACTCTGCAGGATGGATCAAAAAATCCATAAGGAGGTTTTAATTCTCCATTAAATCCTATGGAAGAGCTGGAACAGAACCATATTAATTTTCCCTGAGACAATGCTGCTTCCCTCCGTTAGTCCACAAGTTCAGCCACTGCTCCATGGACAGCAGGTGTATTTACACCTGCATATCCTTATGGAAGTTTTCCAAAGTCCCAATGGCTAAGTTCTTATTAAAATGAAATCCATTTAACTTAACTCATATTTTGCTTTCCCCCTCCCGTTTTTGTTTCTTTATTAAACAGGGTTTGGCTTCGTAACTTTTGAAAACGAAGACGTGGTGGAAAAAGTCTGTGAAATTCATTTCCACGAAATCAATAATAAAATGGTAAGTTGTTTTAATTCGGCAGCGCGTGGCGGTGGCAGCGAGCTCTCCCCCTTTGTCACGGACACGTGCCGTGCCTGGGGGGTGGCCCTGTGGGACAGCCTTCTCCGTGGGGTTAACGGGGTGCTGGGCACAGCATTCTGGGCAGAGGTGTCGTGGGGACGGGGTGCTGAGCCCTGACCTTGGCTTCCCTGGGCCCCGCTCCTGTCCCCGGCCAGCAGGACGGGTGTCTGTCCCCCGCGAGCACAGGCGCTGGCTGCCGGCTCAGGCAGCCGCCCCG